AGGAGCTTTTTGAGCGTAGAGACGAAGGGATGAGCGCATTCAGAGGTAAGTGCGGAAACAGAGGCCATATAGTAGGCGGTACCAATAATTTCGCTGTGTGCAGCCTCACTTGCTCACTTATGCAAGCCTCTGCATCGAGGATAGCTGATAGTTGGCCCCGAATCACCAGGATGCGATCTAAGTTGATTTCCTTGGGCTGCTTTTTGGAGGTGGAGGGCGCAGAATCGGATTCAGCGTTGTTCATATGAATTTTCACAGGGGAGCTGGAAAATAACAATGAAACAAAATGTTAATAGCAATGCAAAATATGAAATACACATTATAAGCACAAAAAAGGAAGACGAAAGTTGCGAGATGACTTGGTCGTCTCGTGCATCCTTATCAATCCCAAGCAGGTAATTAACGATAGAGGTAACAGAAAGAAAGACAAATGGAGTTGATTGGTGACTAAACAAAGTGTTTCGCGCTACAACAGCAGACTCAGTTACAGCCAGCTATTTCTGTACACAAAGTTTCGGACGTTCTAGTGCAATGACAATGGTTTCTAGCATTCTGAGGATGTGGGGCTTCTGATTGTGCATTAGGACGATGTATAGGAAAAGTTGGATGAGCTCAGCTGTGGACAGAGATGGCTGCTTCAGGTATGTATAGAACTGCTCAGCCCTAAGCAGAAAGGTATCGAGTTGAGCCAGCGTAGTAGACGAGAGGGAGGGGGGGGAATCAGTAAAGGTTTTAAAGAATACAAAATGGCAACAAGAGGGAATAAAGGACATGCTGGGTATGCATGTTCACTTGTTGATCTACGAGTGGAGTGAACTATTACGGAGCGCCAATCGGAGCACGCAGTGCCCGTAACGGGAGCCAAATGGCTGGTAATGAACTACCACAGCAAGTGACTGGGGAGCGCGAACGATGATGACGTTGAGTGTGTGGAAGTGCCACAGGGTGATAGAAGCGAAACAAAGGAGGGTGAAGAGAATAGAGATGCATAATTCTTCAGAGAGTGGGGCGCGCCGAGTCAAGCTGCCTATGCCTCACAAAAGATGAGTGGGAAATTGCGACACAGTTTCATGGTTCCGTTAAGGGGAATCTCCAGAGGTATCCAGCACAAACAGAATCATCCAGGATGGAGTAATTGCGGTGTTATTCCTCCCAACAGACAACCCACTTAGAATCGGACGGATTGGTGAGAAGAGTATTGTTGAAAACAATGATCGACAAGATTCTGAGCCATTTACATTACCCACTAAGTAACTGCGTGGAAGAAACAGAGTATGACATGATGACAAGTACCGCACAATTCCTATTGAAATAGACATGAACTAGAAAGCTCCAGAAGATTGCAACCATGAAAAAGCCCAGAGACGAAGCGGAATTATGTGCAGATTTTCGGCCTCGTGAAAGAAAATAGAACGAGAGATGACCAGTGTGCGCGATGATACGACACATGTTTAATGTCAAAGACGAGGACGGGACCCACTGATTTCGCAACAAACCGCAGTAAATGTCGCATGGTTTATTGGTACGAACAAGTACTGAGGCTAAAAGGAAGAAGAAACAACGGGCGATGCTTTAGACCGCTTAGCGCAAACGAATAGCGCTAAACGACTTGAGAGGGATAACGGAAGGAAGCCGAGGCAAATCACGAGGAATCATAGATAGTAACGAAAGGATACTGATGGGAATCCAGCGTTAAAATTCACCGGAACCGTTGACAGCACAAGGTTAATGGTGTGACAACGGCAATGAGTCAGTGACCCCGTGAATGTAGTGAGACGATCTGTGGGATTTTAAGCGGTGATGAATTCAAATAAAGAAATCAAGAGATGTGTTAGTACAAAAATCACGAGCAGTAACATGGGAAATCTCACAGATAGCCCGGGACCGAACTCGAGAAAACAGTAACTGCGCGGAAGTGGTAAGCTATCATACGTTCACCCAAAGTTAAAGTATTGATCCACTGTGGCTGAATGTTACCCACATACACACACCCGTCTTACCAGCGAAGATGGGCAACAATCTCTGACCAACTGATAATTACACCGCATCACGGGCATTCTTCCTACCTTTGGTTTACGAGCCTGACATAGCTCAGGCTCCGGATACACTCGCTTAACAAGACTACGCCGTATTACGAGTGTACTTGCGCGTCGGCACATATGAGAGCATGATTCAAAATTCGCACAGAGTCGGACACACAAGCGGGTTACAGCTAGTTGAGCGTTGACTCGAAAGACAAGATCCAGCCCAAAGGATTAAATCTTTGAGAATCAAAACTACGAGTCGATTGGCGCTCACAATGACTGGCAACGTTCACATGTTGAGATATGTAAGCAACACAGCTACCAGTCAGTCTGTCCAACTGGATGTCTGACAAGCGGCCTCTCGCTTGAAGGCAAGTTATATCGCAGCATCAAGCGCAACCATCCAGTTGGATCCCCGGGTTGCACTAACGCAGGGAACTCCAGAGTCAGGCCCGCGTTAAGGTTTGAACTGGCCCGCAGCCTCATCATGAAATAATAAATTCAAACTTGAAACTTTCTTTATAAAGGAGATTATATATATTACAAAAATATTAAGTACGTTATGTGTACAAAATCCAGTGGCGCCAGATACTGTCAAAAATAATTGAAATGGTAGTTTTGTTTGTCCTTAACCAACTAGAGGAAGTTAATATAGTGCTTTTACTGGGTTCGTGATATATATATATATATATATATATATATATATATATATATATATATATATATATATATATATATATATAAGTTCGTCAACTTTGATACGTGCCCTGTGGTGTGGTGGATGCACCGGCCTTGACATCACCAAAGAATAATCCTATTGACAGCGGAATCAGAGCGCCCCCTCCCGAGAACGCGATTGTACAATGCATGATAAGGTCATCGATCCTGAGAACTGGACTCGGGAAGACAGCAAGGACCAACCAGATTCAGCGTCTCGGTAAGCTTCTTCGTGCCCTGTTGCCATGCCATTGACTTTCTACTTGGAGTCTCGTTCAAATAGGTGGAGTATTCCCAAACAGCACATGTCGAGGCGACCAGTGTACCAGTATGCGAAGCTTATGAGCTAGTCAGCGGATGCGATTTAAGTTCAACAGCTACTGAGGCAGTGGACGATGTGGCGCCAAACATCAGATGACGAACTTCAGTACCACTCACGAGGTTCTCCTAACAGATACGTATAATGATTCGTATGTGATCTGTGATCAAACGCTGTCAGTCTCTTGATACTTTCAGAACGCAGCGTCGGGCGGTGGCCGCAAGGATTACGTGCTCGCCTTGTAATCCGGAGGTCACCAGTTCGAATCCGCGGTGTATCTAGCCCACGCACGACTGATAGTGCTCAGGTGTCAGCGGAGCATCAGCACGCCGTGCCGGCGTACTACTGACGTCAGAGTGCAGCGGCCACATGTCTGATTTCCACAGTAACACTGGCTGCATTACCGTACCTTAACCGATATGCCGACAGTCCGTCGTCTCTATAGACAGCTGATGCTTTGAAAGGCATTACGAGCATTAGCAAGGGGTGCAGGAACCACTATGGTAATGTGATTGGTAGATGTGATAAAGCTACCGGGTAAGTAAACCGATTAACAATTCCAAGCGGTTGTTTGGTGATCGTAAAAACTGGCAGTGAATCGGCTCAGTCCTGCATTTTGAATTCGTGAGTCGAACACCAAAAGGTGCAGCGGCCATGAGATATTACAACGCGGATTCACTAACTCATGTGCGATAGGAAGTGGACAGGCTTTGAAACAGCCAAGATTCCATAGCTCAAGATCCATTCATAGCTAACGTGTGAAGGGAGATTAAGATACACAATGGTTCCATATAGTGATGACCCTTATCCGATTTCGTGGACTGTACTGTGCTCCCATGATGGAAAAGATGCAGGATCGAGTCCCTATAGTGACTCAGACTGAGACTTGTAGGGAACAGTGCGATACCTAATGCCCTAAGAACAGCATCCGAAGACAAGCGGCTTCATCTCCTCTTATCTGATGCATCAGGAAAGCGAGCAATGATATTTGGCGCACAGGAGGACCCAGTTGTAGGCCAGTATAAAAGATGACTGAATATTGTCTGTAAGCAGTGAAAAGAGCAGCAAGAATATACGGCCAAACTAAAACGTGTATATGTCATGTCTCAAGGCGCACGTGGCGCAATCACAGAGGCAGCTTTTGAGGATGGTAACAACAACGGTAAAATGTCCGTATGTTGACCAGACAAAGGATTGGACCAAAGTGACCAAGATAGAAATGTGGTCGATGCATGGAGGTCCTGTCTAAGAACAGTGTATCTTACTTCCCGTTGTTAGTGGTACAGCATAAACACTATGTTAACGTGCATGCGGTTTCAAGTGTATTTCTATAGTGGCAAACAGTTAAACAATACAGCAATGTAGTAAATCAGAAAACAGTGCTTTCCTCAAAATTAACTCATTTTTTTGTAAAGTATCTGAAAAAGCGATCCCAACATAGGCTACACATCTCAGCAAATGAATTCAGTTGCGTTAAAAGATGCCTGATATTGGCCTCTTTTGGAGTTTCTGTGGTTTGCATATTATGTACACTTAGTTTTTCTTCCTCTTGGTAAGATTGTTTGTTTGTTTCAGTAACACTATATGGCAGCCAATATCTCTTTGAAAGTAGTAGTACCTGGGTCTAGTTCAGAGCAGATTGCTAAGTCATCAACCGTGTCAATAAACTCATATCTATTCCCTCGAATTCTAGTTAAGGAAACGCAGTTACAAGTACAACTACAGCATCCTACTTGTTTGAACGAGCCCAGGTGTTTTGAAGCCCTTATGTATTGTTTCTGGTTGACCTGTGTCTAGCGGAACCTATCAAAAACAAAGCATCCAAGGCATGAACTGACGAAGTAGATGAAGTTCTTGCCTCATGCAGGTTATTGATATGGATTTTTGCCATAACCCATTTAATGAGATGGGCTCGACCGTGCGTTTCGTATATGTTGATGATTCCATTGGAACATACGAAGTAAACATCCATACGCATATACACTGAAGGGCATGACGAAAGTGAACACGCACATGCATATTGTGTCGTCAAATGTCTGCGCAGCCGTAAAGTTAGGAGATTGTAAGTCAGAATTTCCCATATGGCAAAATTTCACTAAATACACATCAGTATTTGAAGAAACGAGTCGTTTGTCGACCAGTGCACATTCCGTCCACCCATGGTTGTTACAGTTAAACTAATTATGACAGTTAACATTCAATTTACAGGTGGGAAATATACAGACGTCTGGTTCCATAGTGTTTACGTGGTGATCGTTTAAGCTATGAAAAAACGGCCAAATTAGAGTGGTGGTCAACTTCGGTTTTGCAGTAATTGTGAAAGATCTGGATCCAGCACATCACATGATTCAGGTCGCAAATGGGTCAAGGAGGACATTTTAGGCATGCACATAAAATATTGTCATAGACCATCTGATAAGTGTTAGCAACCAGCGTCGGACATGTGTCGGGACGCGTAAACTTTATTTAGGTCAAGGCGACTACGTCCGCGTTTGGACTCGAAGGCGGTTATCAGTTTGCCTACCATCATGCGCAGGCCATGACCCTAGAGTGGCCAGGTCACCAAGTCACGCTGGACAGCTAGGGCCACGAATGCACAAATCGTGCAGATAATCGCAAACCGGTATGCAGGGCTGCTGGCCACAACTGGTCAGACAGGTACAAACAAGACATGAAGGGAAAATAGAGCAAAGGCGGCGCTGAACTAGTCGGATGGCCAAAACACACGAGAACGAGGTAGGCGGTTGGTAGATGTAGTCTACAAAGTAATCCACAAGACATCGATTCGTATCTGCGTGGGTGCGGCTAATGGCAGTCGCGTAGCAGCAAAGTGAAAGTGTGATGTGCCGTAATGCTGCAGATGCATCACTCTCGTGTACAGCATTTATAACAAATTCGGTGTACGTGACCGAGAGCCGAAGTTGTAAAGGGTGTAACAGAACTGATATTTGGACGATCACGAAAAAGACACATGTGATCCACGGATTTTCAAACATGCTACGGAGAATTTGTCACAGAACTGTTGCGATTAGATGATGAAGTACGGTGCGTTATGTGCAGAGGTGCAAGTAAAGACATCAGCAGTACGCCGGTACACAGTACGAGGTTTCGCCGTTGCGCAACCACCACCAGTCGCAGGTGGGCTAAGGATACTGCGAGGGTCACCCTGCTCCTACGCAGGCTCGAACCCGGGCACTCAGATTACAATAGTAGCTTGTTCCCTTTAGGCTACGGGACGGCGGTAGTGAATGAGGAGCCCGAAACATCACATGTAACCCGGAATGCAGCATACAAAATTAATGGTTCGCTCAAGGTGCGTGTGCGCTTATTCAGCGTGGAAAATGGACGGTAGACGACATCTCGTCGCCAAACCAGGCAAGATTGTCAGCACTATGCATTGATCCCATTGGAGTTCAATGCGTTAGAAGCGTCACCCTTGACGATATGTCAAGCGACTAAACCAGTCAATCGTCGGAAAAGACGTGATTCACCATCAAACTATGTTGACAACAAAAGGCCCGTTGAATCGCAGCCGCACTAAGGTACGTGGATCGTGTAAGATGTGTGTAGCGTACACCGCAGTCAGTAATTTGGACAAAAGAATAGGCAACCAGTTTTAAGTTGTAATAGCGACGGAAGCACTAATTATGAAGATGAGAGATTTTCAACACGCTGCTTAACACAGGTAGAAGAACTCCACGCCTCGCGTCCAGCATCAGACTTCCTGGTGGTGAATTCAGCGAAGACAGGCGGAAAACCGACGGGCTGAGAGCGACGGGAAACAAGTCCAGACAGCACTGTGAAAGGCCTAACAGAGTCCCTCCGAAAGTGTTCTCACATGAAGTACAAGTACAGAACGCGCGTGAGCAGACGGGTTTAGTCGTCGACCAACAGCAATAAAATAGTTTGGCTTGTAGGAGGAAAACAGGTTGGGTTACTGAGTCCAGAAGGCACTCGATGAACGCAGTGCAACATAAAGGGCACCGTCTGTTTGTTTCAACGACCGACAGAGATGACGGACGTGCTCCAAAGCAGACTCTTAGTAGGTAGAAGTACCGGGAAGAACGTGCTGTTGGATTTTCCTGAATTCTCATGTGTTTTGATTGGTACAGATGATCGCAAGTTACATTAAGCGGAACCCCAGTCATTCACAGCACGGGGCCGGTAGTGTCCAAACTAAATTGTTGGGATCGAGCGCTTGCAAGACATGCATTGCCCCTGCCTAGACTCCCAAGTGTCAAGAGGGAACACACCAAGAAGGTATCATGATGTATAGCGAGGAAACGATTAGGTTAGTGGCAGTTGCACAAATGGCAAACTTAATGAACTACAGCCATCGTGCAGAAGTGACATCGACCGTGACGGCTTGACACAAGTGCCAAGGGAGTGGTGACGGTGAAAAAAAGCGAGAGCACAGTGGAAGACGGTGTTACTAGTCGTAGCTGATAACGATCAGTCGAGGCCAGATGGAAAAAAAGCTTGAATAGTTCTGTGTCGAAACGTGAATGTATGTGTGCGTGCCTCCCAATTGATGGTGCATTACTTGTAGGGTATTAGTAGACTCCATTAATACGGATCCGGACACGTGATACCATGTCTTATGAGTAATCGATCAAGTAGAATAATCTTAATGTGTCACTAACTGCCGCTAAGAAGAGAGACGTGCAACCGACGCACGGTGCCAAGAACAGTCAGTAGCTCATATGGATAAGACATAAAATCCTTGTCAACTATGCTCGAACCCGAATAAATACTAATGACCATCTCCATTTTCGATAAGAAACAAGTATTATCAGATGGACTATCGCGGCTTAGTGAAACTATTCCGGGGACAGCGGTGTGGTCTGCAGATTTGCAATTCTGGGCACCTTATGGGCAGATGGACTGTTCAATGATTCATTATTACTTCTAAACTGTCATACGAAAGGCGCTAGATTTTTACGTCCCATTGAGTGATGCAAAGAAGAGGGCGTAGAAACTCAAGCAAACGGGAGGTAAAATAGATTGTTAGAGTTGCTTGGCTTGGGTCCAAAGCATGATGAACACGTCTGGTTGGACAAACTTGTTGATAGGACGAAGAGCCGGCCTCAGTGGCGTTTGTGTTGTGACTTTCACTGTTCATCTTCCTCCCTTTTAAATTCCCCTTCAATTCGATCCCACAGGAACTACATAATATACTATTTAACATATCACCTGCATTTGATTTGTTCGTAGTGTAACTTTTCCGTATCCGAACTTCTTGTATTGCGGCACCTTAGCTGAGGTGTGTGCTAGTCACTCTCAACTAACGTGTATTGATGATGATGGTTTTGCTTGAAAGACCCGGGTGGATGCAAAAAGCACAACGAAGATGCGCAACTTGCTGTTAAAATGTTCGATTTAGCTACACGGAGACGAAGGCTGAAATTGCAAACCTACTGCGTGTTCGCATCAGAGTTGCAGGCTAATCCCATTGTTGGTGTCGATCAGCTCGGGGGAAATTCCCAACTCCAATGAATGACAGGTGTTATGCTACGCCATAACTCAGATCGACGAAGTGGTACCTTCAGTTCGATTGGCAACAACGATAGGGTAAGCCGAGGCCGACAAGTGGAAGCTTTCGGCCCCCTCAAGACGATCCGTTTCAAATCCCGCATCTGATCTGTCTGTCCATATGGTGAGTAGGTCAATCAAGGTTGATAGCCCAGGTATGGGAAAGGCGGAGTAGTGATCAGTATTCCCGAGCCGCATTTGGATACGGTTGTGAAGTTGGTAGGGAACACAAAGTTTTCAAGGCATATGATCTTAGATGTCAAAAAAAGCAGTAATCCGATGTCAATATTTACCACAATCTAAGTGTTACAGTGTCTATGAGCGATCAGAAAATGCAAAAAACTGGTGGTGTCAAGCAATAGCGATATTGTGGATAGGTTTGCATAAGAAATGGTGGAAATTTAATCAGTTCCTATGGAGAGTCTCAACAAAGTCTGAAGTAGTAGTGCGATTCCCATTGTAAGCAAGATAATTTGGTGAACTGGAGAGGATCAGCTCCTTTCGCACACGAAGTCTGATAAACAAGTGCACTATGTGGGACAAGTTGACATTTAATGCCTTATTTCGTTGGACGAGCTGTTGACCATCGGGTTACTATGACAACTTCAATGCATTACGGAGTTTTCATGGATAGCTGATTTGGTTCGTGAAAAGACAGGTTCAATTGAGTCACGACGCTTCAGAGAACTGGGGAACGTGCGACAGAACTATGAGGGAATGGGGGAGTATGAGGGCCCCCCATCGAGTGAACGGTTCCGAGCATAACGCACGACCATGGGCCTAAAGTACAGGCAAAGAGAGAAAATCTGAAAGATGAAAATGAAGACTTCATTTCTAGTGAGATTATCCACATCAGGGAATACAGCGCTCAAAATGTTAGAAGAGGGCGCGGCGTTGCCGATACAAAGAGTTCGTGGAGATGAAAAAACGAGGCTGAGAAGGGAACTAAAACACGATAGTTACCGAACCGGGATGGACGGAATCGTAAAGTGGACCGGCGACGCACCGATAAAAGCAGATGCTAGACCCAGTGCGGGAGTGCGCATTCCCATCCTGGAAGTGAATGTGGCCCACTGTGCAACAAATCGCTGAAACTGTGGATCAAAGGAACTGGGGAGGTGGAGCGCCTTCGAAAGCAGATGAATACGACTACTACTGCGGACACTTGATCCCATCGTCTGTCACGAATTGTTTGTTAGGGAACCAGTTCGTTCAATGGGACCAAATCAGAGTATTACATGGCATAAGAAAAGCAACGCGGAAGGTGCAGTTAGCAAGAAGTGAATAAGTTCATAACTCGCGTGTCGACGCTAAAGCGTGTGTGTGTGTGTTGTGTGTGTGAGGGGGAGATATGGCAGATGCCCCTTGTTCCGGTCTCTATCACCTCACATAGGAATTAATCTCTATAACACGGTGAACCACAGCTGATTAGTAGGCGTCAATGACGTTAACATTCACAGCGGTTGCTAGTGAGGTTGCGAGTGACTCGAGCAGAAAGCATAATGCACCAAATTTTTGTCCGTAAGATTAAGAAAAAAGTTGGTTCAAAAGTCATTTGTTCGCAAGTGTGAAACCATAAGCATCAGTGCAAAAAACTAAGACACGGAACTCACCCAGTAACCGCGACGCGAGCACCTGTGCATGCATTGACGGAATTGAAAAACTTTCGACCAATCAAAGAGCGTGTATAGAGTTGTTGCTGGATTAGCAAACCAAGACAGGGATCAGCTAGGCCTTTGTGTTCGCATTCGCGGAAACAAACGGCGAGCATATCAGCCAGCGCGGCTGAACACTGTTCGCGAGGACCTGATAAGAAGACGACTTGGCTCTGATCTAACTGAAGGCCATTTGCAGTAGCGGGAGGTGGTGACGGAGTCGCACGAGCCAACGAATCACCGTCGGTCTTCTTAGTCGATTCAGCAATCGACTGGTCGCCCAAACGTGGAGGTTTCGGTGGTTGTCGTAGCCCAGCTGGATGGGAGAACTGGGAAAACACAACTGTCTCCGATTTGAAGTCAATTTTGGTGCCCGTCTTTGATGTAATGGAACGGATCGTTCGACCTCCTTTGCCAATGATAGCCCCAACTAATGCAGTGCTGATAAGAATGCTAAAAAGCAAGAATGTGTTGATAGCAACGAAGATTACAAATTTGAAAAAGAGGCGTCAAAAAGTAGTTCAAGAGGTAGGCAAGACTGGAGAGAACTAAATAAACATTATTGAAACTGAGGGAATATTAACGGAAGTCAGAGAAGTTTCAGATATTTTCACTCAAATCCAGAAGCAATGTGACGTAACACACCCCTAATTCTATGGAGCAGTTAGAAGATAGTAATGATGAGGTCTCTGTATTAGCGTTTCAGAGAAGAAAAGCCTGCGAATGTAATGCGTACAGTGTTCGAACTCAACGACAGAGCAGGTCTGAAGACCATAAAATGTTGTTCAAAGGAGAAAGAACAGGGAGATGCACACTGTGATTCGATCTAATTGATTGTGATCAGTGGAGATGGCGCAGGGCCAAACCGAAGCGGTGTGGTTAGCAGAAGGTCGATGCAACTTTGACCGCTTAGACTGCAGAGAGTGATGGGAGAGGTCAGCGGTGAAGCTGAATCGAACGAAGTAGCTTCCAACTTTGACAGATACAAGTATTAAGAATGCGTCTTCCAACCTAAAACAAGTACGAATGGCTCACAAAGATGGAATACAGACCTAACTGCAGAGCCGTCTTACCGTTTGATACTTAGAACACAAGCTTTCGCTGGAATTTTCCGTTACCGTCTCCGAGAGAAAGCAGAGTACTTACATAGATGCAACAAAGTAGCGGTGTCGAGCACTTGGTTTAGATAGAGTTCGAATGCTGCTAAGGTCCACCAAAGCAGAACTGTGACAATCTTTTAAAGTCTTGCTGTTGCACACCAGGATTGGAAAATGTACCATTCACTTGACCCAGCTTATTCTGAAACGCTTCAATGAGCAACAAACTGACTAGAAACAGAAGCATGCTGGAGTCGAGGAGCAAGTCATCCATAAGAAGAAAGCACATCAAATATACTTGAGCCGCAGTGACAGTTGAAACACAGCATCCCTCATGTCCATCATTCAATGTCCTCCATCGGTTGAGTAAGGCTAGAGTATAAAGCAGAGATTGAAACAAGTGCTTTGTTGGAATGTGTCTGCAGGAAAGAAACACGAGTCCCGCAACAGGATAGTTTAGATGCGAAAACAGTGATACATCCATATGGCCAGATGAATCGAAAGTACTCTCAGTCAAGGAGTCAGCGACTTTGATCCCCAATGGTAGATACATAATTGCCTTTGCAGTTTCCGTCATCCATCAGCATCAGCAGTACGCTGGTATGTCACACTAACGCTTCTCTGCCACGCGATCATCACCGAACGCATATGGGCTAACGGCACTGCAAGGTCATCGGTAGGTGGGTAGTATATATTTATTCACAGTCTGTTAACAGACATTGTGCCATCAGAACCATGGCAGAAGAAAAAGGTGAAGAAGATGGGGACACTAATGCGATTAAAAAAATATGGGAAACGAATTTTTTGGTTTTACACACGCCATTTTGTATTTGTTTTGTTTTCTGAGTTTTTGTGTGCATCAAAGGGATGGTGAAATTGCGGAACAACATTGCCGCCACTGATGTCTGTTGCGGGCCATGACGTCCAATGTTTCCAACCACTGCAATTCAGCATCTCGTGGTCCCCAACCTGGAAGGCGGACTGGTCCTACTGCTGCCAAACTTGAGGTCGCCTTCTTCATACTCCTTCTCCACGTCATCGGCTGTCCACCGCGGCACTTTTTCCAGTCGCTCCCTGGGAGTGCAAATAGCGCTCGACGTGGAAGGCGATGGGCTGGCATGCGCAGAACATGCCCGAGCCAGCGCATGCGATGTCGGAGAATAACGTCTTGAAGACTGGCACTATTCGCCTCAAGCACGCGGTCTCTCACCTCTGCGTTGCTTACGTAGTGTTGGTGGGTAGAGGCTCGAACTAGTGACTGGTGGAGTACGACCTTGACGCTTAAACCACTCGACCACCGGTAAGGTACTGCTTCGTGACGGGGTGGGGGGTGTGCACCTGACCATGACAGTGCGATTTAACAAAACTTGTTTATCGATTTCGCGTGTCCCGTTGTGGTCGCTCCTAACCCGAATGTGTCCAGGAGCATCCAAGATTCCAGAGACTGCGTAGAAACCCAATGTTTAGGTTTTCAAGCAGATTTGCCACATGAAGACATATCTGCTGCTAATAACATTTGGTGAACAGGTAAGCAGATAAGAGACATACCAATGGGATCTCTGAAATGGTAGCTGAGGCAGTGACCCAGGCGTGGAACGGGTAGTGCTCCCAACCGCGAAATCAAAAGTATGGACACGTTATGTAGACGACACCTTCGCCATTCTCAACCGTTCCAAGTCAGAGAACACCCAAGATCTAATCGACAGTGTGCTGGGTGGTACCCAATTCGCCAACGAGGAAGAGAACAAGGGGCAGTTAACATCCTTAGACGTTCTCATACGAAGAATCGGTGTTGAACCGCTGCAAACAACAGTCTAACGAAAATTAACGCAGAAGAATCAGATCTACAACTACGGCAGCAATCACCCGGCATTCCACAAGCGCAGCTGCATGTGAAGACTTTTCAAACGAGCACAAACATACTGTAGCACACGGAAGCTGAGGCAGGAGGAGGAAGACCATCACACTAGCCAGTTTATACGGAACTCATACCCAACAGACTGCATTCTGTGCTGCGTGGCGCCATAACACATCGCAACAAATTCAACAGCCGGAAAGAGAGCCACGCTGCCTTATATCAACGAAATCTCTGAAATGGCAGCGAGTTTTATTGCCTACTGGAATTTTCTCAGCAAATAACAAAAGCAACTTAAACTGAACTCTCCAGAGTAAAAGATGGACTTAGCAGTGAGAAAACAACTGATGAGATCTAAAAGATCTATTGCCGAAACTGAGACAAACAGGAAGAACGCTTGGCGCAAGACAAGATGAACACAGCCGAGCCATTCGTCGCCGCGATCAGAACTCCCTGATGTCAATGCATCTGGATGCCGAAAAGCACTAATTCGACATGGAGCACGCCAAAATCCTAGGAAGGATAAAAAGCCGACAATCAAGTGTTTATTGAAGCCTAGAATTCAAAGCAGAGTTTGATCAATAAGTACTTAGATCTCGAAGTCACTTACGAGGCATTGCGAACCAGGCTCCTGAAGCTGCACTGATTATATTGCCTAGTCTGACAAGGAAACGTCCGCAAACAATTCGTTCAGCTGGGAGAACGCAAAATCCATATCCAAACTCGAGCTAATATTTTAAATCGAGCAAATGTTTTGGACACACTCTCTTCAACGATAACTGATCGCGATGTGATCGATTTGTGTCCATGGTTAGTGGACGCCATGTCACTTTTCTGCGGGTGCTATGTCGGGAATTAGTGTTGGCGAGAACCAGAGGAGTCTCCTCGCACAGAGGTAACAAATGCCACCGTTAGCATTATAGTTTCTATTTCTGATAAGGCTTTCATCCCAATAGTTCACAAGTTACATAGCAGAGCCTAGTCCGGAAAAGTGCCAGACGCGTTTCGCCCTATTGGGGCACGTCAATGGCGCGTATTCCCTCCATCCTCTAAGGAGGATCGAAACCATGACCGCTAGAGACAGATGCAAACTAGCAAGCAGCTTAAGCCCCTGAACCATGGGGGACGCTGGCTGGGCTACATAATTTGCAAACTAACTGGGATATAGCACCACCTATCTAACACTGTCACTGACAGTGGTTAGCCTGCGAGGTGATGACACTGTGTTGGTCGCCCAAATGCAGCTCATCAGTCGGAAGTATTCCAAGTTGAGCGTTGAGACGAGCAGCTAGCACTACAGTGTCCGTAATTATTCAGTGACAAAAGATCTCGTTCCGTTCACCGAATCAGCGCTACAATTTGTGGGAGCATAGGCAGCGATAACATATAGGCGCCTACTGACCCCACGCGACTTCGAGGCTTTGAACCACTCAGCTACTCGGACAGTGCAAACCGCGCTGTTGATTGGGGTACAACACCAAATAGAGCAATTTTAGCCCAGGAATTTAGAACAGTACCCACAATAGCTTGATCGGTATTTGAAGTAGTATAATTTCCGGATAGAAGGAATGGGAAAGTGGTGCCAGTGTCACATGTAGGGGATTGTAGACTGAACACAGAGTTCGAGTCTTGCAGACGGGTTTCCGATAAATAGGAAATATGTACTCGCAACAAAGTGTGAGAGGATCGAGGGTTCCAAATAGAAGCGGATGAACTGATTTCGTTTGTTTAGTTAGACATGGACCTGTCAACTGGACCGGAGTGACGCTTCGCGATTATGTGTGAATCGAAACGAAGAAAAGTAGCTATCAAAGCAAGGCGGAGGTAATCAAAAATTAAAGGGGTGAAGTGTGGGAGGGGAGAAAAGAAGTTGGAACAGGGCGTTAGGGATGGAAGGCCGTAAGCGGGATACGAAGGACGGGAAGACCTGTGCAGTAGTATCCACACTTCTATCTACAGCAGATAGAGCGCCGTTGATTATGTTCTGCGACGGCCAGAGCACCAATAAGTTGCTTCAAGATGTAACGCTGACATGGCTTTGTTCTCCACCTGGTGCTCCGTCCAACCCAACTAGGGGATAACGGAAAATGGTGCATGTGGAGTATTGGGAAATTGGTATATTTATAGGTCACACCCATATCCTCATTTCTGCCTTCGAAACTGACCGTATGTCACCCGGCTGTTTGGTGAGCACTTAGTTAGCGACGTCCGTACATACTCGCGGTCATCTATATATCGGTGCTTGCACGGCCGGCTAAACATAGCCTCGCTTCCGCCGGCGCTGACGGAATAAGTTCATCAACCCACGTCGACTATATAGCAACTGTGCTGTCGATGACGAACCGATTGCGTGAGCCACCCTCGTGGCGCGCAGGAGCTGCGACCACCTAACAGAATTGAAGTTCAATGTGTTGTGTGTGCACATTCATTGGATCGAAGGCACTTTTAATGTCGAGGAACACGACTAAGGTGGATGCTAAACAGAAGTGGCAAAGTAAAAG